AATTGGTAAGCTCATGTAAGTTACAACTTAGGTGTTTCTATGACTGCTGATTACGAATCCGGTGTTAGTTTATCAAAATTCAAAATGGCGGATCCAATATGGCGGTTTTTAATATTTTAACGATTATTTTAAATTTATTACTCGCGGTTTTTCGGGACCTTTGATAACGAATCCTATATCAATTTTTATACACGCTAAAAAAAGTTCTACTAAAGTAGATATAACAATCACTTTAATAGCTATAAGTTTCACTGATTTGGCTCCATCGATAATCCATTTTCGCTGATCTAGCGAAAATGATATTTCTTGCGTTATCTTTTGAAAACAACGTAACCTCAAAATAACACTTGAATGAAAACATTTTTAAATTAATGTTCAAAGCGTTTATTCAAATTCTATTAATTATATTTTTTATATTATAACTAATAAAATGTAAAATTAGTAAATTAATACTTATTTAGAGGTAAGAAATGTAAATTTGACATTTGTGATTTTAGAGAAATTTCTATGAGAATGGTAAACTGTCAAATATTTCCAATATGGCTGACCAGTGAAATTCATTTTCTCTATATCAGAGAAACAGTTTGACTACTGCATTGGAAATCATTCATTGAATTAGTTGAATAGATTCTTTATGTTATTTATTTTTGAAATTACCTGTTCCCCACAGTAAAAATTTTTTTCCGTGTAATCTTAAAGTCTTACGAATTGTTTTCTAACAATTCGTAAGACTTTAAGATTATAAAAATTGATATAGGATTCGTTATCAAAGGTCCCGAAAAACCGCGAGTAATAAATTTAAAATAATCGTTAAAATATTAAAAACCGCCATATTGGATCCGCCATTTTGAATTTTTAGAAACCGACATGGGATTCGTCATCAGCGACCCCGAAAACCCCCGAGTAACGATTTTCAAGCCAATCAAAACAAATTTTAATTATATTGTTCGCCATATTGGATTCGCCATTTTGAATTTTGATAAACTAACACCGGATTCGTAATCAGCCGTCATAGAAACACCTAAGTTGTAACTTACATGAGCTTACCAATTTTTTATTGCGCTGTGTATGGTATAATTTGTTTGTTTGGAATCTTAGATGTGTTTTTGAGGTTAGGTTCGATAGATTTAATGTTTTATAACAATTTTCAATTGAAAAGCTTATAGAATAGTTTATTTAAATTAAGGGATCTTAAAAAATTATCAACATGCGGTTAGATTCAATTTTGATAAATCAAAAGTGACCATTTTAACGATTTTAGGGTATTTTTTGAGGTTAGGGCGAAACCAGGACCCATTGGCCAAATTCTGAGGGCGGATTCGGATTCAGCGCATCGAAATACATCGGAATACATATGTCTCGACTCCAGATCAAAACACTTTATTTTTTTTGTGTGGCTGTGTTATTTGTATTAGATGATTCTATTGCGAGTTAGAGTGTACACCGCAAATCAATTTTTTTGGAGGCGCCTGAGAAAAATCTGATTATCTCGCTCAATTCTTAATATTTTTAAATTAAAATTTAAAGAAATATTGTTCAAATGTTGCAATATTATATTATTATATATATTATAGGTATTATATTATAGGGGAGAGGGCCCCAAGCTGGTCACCCTTAGAAAATTTTTGTATATGACTTAGTATCTTCAAATGTTTTTTGTTATTGTTACTATTTGAGAAGAGTAAAGTTTTGAGGTAAATAGTTGTATGAGTCTGTTTGTAACGTGAACGTCGCATAAAATTTATGTTTTTAAATGATCAAGAAATTTTTTTCTCAGGGTGTTAAAATCATCGAAATTAACCATTTTAAATTAGTAAAAATCGTTATAATTATCTTTATATATCATACAATAATGTTCCAAATGAATATAATTAATATTGTGCTTTAAAAATTTTTTTCATTAACGTTTAAAAAATTGTGTCTTGGCCCTAAGGTGGACACTTTCTTGGCCCCAAGGTGGTCGCTTTTGATTTTTTATGAAAATGTGTTTATACGTTATATTTATCAACATTTATCACTGTGAATGTGAATTTTATCAATTTTTAAGTTTTATGATGAATAATAATGAAATAGAATTATTTTCAAAATTTTACCTGTCTAATTAATACATACACAAAAAGTATTATTTTTGACGAAAGGACAAAGTGCAAAAAAAAATATGTAATATGTTTCTGTGATCATGAAAAACAATTAATATTAAATAAACAACTTAATAATACGTTTTTTACATTTTTTTAAAACTTTTTTAGTGAATTTTTGTATGGTGACCACCTTGGGGCCACTTTTTTAAAAGTCGAATTTTCAACTTTTTTTAAAAAGTTCCATAACTTTTTTTTTATTAATGAAATGAAAAAAACTTTATGATAGGAAGTTAGGTAATAAGATAAAGTTTCAAACACCGTATTATTGACCTTTATATATAATTCCATTTGAAATCTACAGTCGTTCAAAAGATGGGTGACCACCTTAGGGCCCTCTCCCCTAGATATATATTATATCTACTTGAAATCAGTAAGTAAATTAAATGCTTAATAGAAAAAAATATTTCCTAAAATTTTTTTATTTTTTTCATTAAACAGAGAGTAAATAGATTATTACAGAAAATTTAGTTTTTTGAGAAAATTCTACAAAAGAGGAAAAATAATACAAGTTGAAGACTTTAAATAAAATTCAAGATTTACGATAAAAAAACAGAAAAAAATTCGATACAAGTATTTTCAAATTTTGAAAAGCAGGACAATTTTGAATTTTGTTTTATACGTGGAAATAGTTCTTTGCAGTCAGACATTTAGTTGTTAAAATATTATTACCTTTTTTTTAAGTATTAACATTCCAGCTTGACCAGACAAGTATTTCTCAATACATAACAAGAGTTTTCAATTTTTCTTTAAGTGACAATAACCATTGTTAGTCAAACACTGAATTTCTCAAATAAAATAAAATTTTTAATTTTTGTTCCAACTTCCAAGTGTAGAAATCATCTCGTTTAGTCAGACCCTTAATTTTCGAAGAGAAAGACAATTTTTATGTTTTGTACCAATTAGAAATAATTCCGTCTAGACAGTCAACAATTAATCGCTCTTGTAAACTATTACTTCGAATATTTCATTATATACGTAAAAATAGACCAGTTTAGTCAGAAAATTAATTTATTCTATCAATAACAAATATCTAAACAGACCAAAAAATATTTATTTCGAAAAAATAAAAAATTGGCCCATAAGTAAAATAACTTTTATCTCATTGAGTCAAAAATGACAAATGTTACACAAACAATAGTTTTCAAAATAAAAAAATTGCACAAATCCGTTAAAGAAGGAAACAAAAGTAAATTCCCAGGAAGATAATTCTTTGTCTGCATTAGCTTCAGTGTTAGAAGATAATATAAGAGAGTCACACAAACGACAGTGAGGTTTTAATTTTGGTTTCTAACGTTAAAGAGGAAGTGTGAGGATGATGATGGTGATGATGATAATAATAATATTCCTGGGATCCATTCTCAATGTTTCTATGTGAAAAGAAAATATGTGCGCGCGCGTAGGATGTGGCACAACCTTAATGCTGTTAAAACGTCACAGCAAAAGCGTTAGGTACTAAGTTAAACTATGGAATCGCAAAGTAGGTAATGGCATCTAAACTGTATATGGCATCACGTGTATAGTACAATATCGAGGAAAATAACGAAGCAATATACACATAAAGTCAATTATTCGTATTTCTTCTAATTCTTCGGCCTTCTATTTCTTTTTTCCTTATTTCTTCTATATCTTCTTTTCTTTTCTCCACAATTTTTATTTCTTATGTATATTTCTTCTATTTTACTTTACCTTCTATTTCTTCCTTTCTTCTATTTTACTTCGCCTTCTATTTCTTCTTTTTCTATTTTCCTGTACTTTCTATTTCTTCTTTTTTATTTTTTCTATACTTTCTATTTCTGCTAATAATTCTATTAATTCCATAACTTCCATTTCTCTTATATTTTATAAGATCAATTTCTTCTATGCTTTCTATTTCTTCCATAATTTATACATATAGCTTTTATTAATTATATTTCTTCCATTAATTCTATAATTTTTTATCGTTTTGTTTCATCTAAATCTTCTATTCCATTTATGTTTCTTATATCTTCTATAGTTCCTATTTTCTTTTTAATATTTGTTTCTTCTATTTTTCCTATGAATTTTATTTCTTCTATGACTTATTTTTTTATAACAGAAAAAATAGAAAAAAATATAGGTGATATTTTGTAAAAAAAGAATAGCCCTTCATTTTTATTTACAACTCTTAGTTGTTGGATATTTTTTCTACAACTTCTATATCTTCTTTCCAGGCTAAAATTTTCTTCTATTTTCATTGACAAAATTAGACTATCCAGAGGTGAAAATTATGCTTCATCATAACGATAATCAATGATGACGATGCAAACACACGTTAGAATACACAGTTTGATTTATGATTCTGAAAAAAATTGTCATTTATTATTACAATCAGTTGAAGTTATTCGCACGAATAAGACAAATAACAACAATGAAAAAGACACGTCATCAACACTGTAATATTAAATTTATGCAGTACAAACACGGACATTGCAGAGATGATAATTAAAAAAAGTTACAGATGCGACTTCCATTCTTGGATTGTAAGTGGAAGTAATTTTTTTTTTAGTCGCGAATCGTTTTATTATAACGGAAGATCTTTTTGATGTTGCCTTAATGTCATCAGGCTTGACGAACGAGTTGTGTGTGATTTGAATTATGCAGAAGGAGAGAAATTTTTCCGTTAAACGAAAATGACATTGAGAAAGAAATCTGTTTTTTGAATTTTTTCTTTCTCGATTTGATTTCTTTATTTAAGTAAAAATTGAAAATAAATTTTTATTTTTAATCATTTATATACTTTTCACAGTTATTCTAAGGATATCAAGTTGAGGTAAAAAACGTATCAAAATAGTTGCAAAGCAACACAGAAATACAGGTTTTACATTTATTTTATTATTTATCTTTTTATTTACTTACTTATTTTTGAAAAGCAAAAAAAAATTGTTTCCAATTTCTTTTGCTCTGCGATTCCTATTATATTTCCATAGACGCGTCGAATATAAAAAAGGAGAATTTATTTTCCCATCTGTACTCTTCATATTGATTTACTTCAGTCGTTAATTACAGTTTATTGCCGCACGGATCGAAAGGATTAACAACCTGTCACAATTACCAGCTCTTTAAGCAATTTTCCGCTATGGAATTTCGATTACAGTTGGAGGTATCTATATAGATATACGAAGACTTATAAATTTTCTCCCCATTATGACACAAATATTTCCATTCCGCATACATGTCGACTCATTGATATTGTAATAACCATTTTAGAAGAATGTCTATAAAAAGTAAATTAAATAATTCAAATGATTATCAATTTGAGGAAATTTATTTTTCATTACTAGATTTTTATTTGTGTATATTATAAAGATCTGATTATAATATAAATAATAGGCGAAAATCTATATTATGTCAAAATAAAATGTATATATGAATTTTATTTTTATGCGCGAAAAAACTAAAAAATAATAAATAATGGTATGATTAATAAACATATCATATAAAATAATATTAACAATAAATAAAAAAAATTTTTGAATTGAAAGAATAAAATAAAAAATATTAAAAATGAAAATAAAGTATTACTGAAAAAAATACAATAATTATACCTTTACCAAAAAAATAGAAACAGGAAACAATAGAGAAAAAGTCAAATTACAAATTAAAAATAAAAAAATTGTTAAAAAATTATATACTTAGCTTTTGATATATTGGATAATTGGATTAGTAAAAATGCGTAAAAAGAAGAAGTGTAAAAAATGAAAATTAATAGTAAAAATAATGACAGAGTAATATTATAACAAATATAAGACTAAATCTACAAAAACTTCAATAAAACTATTTAATTAATTGAAAAATGGAAAATTGAATAATAAATTATTATTAAAAGAAAAGAAAATAAGAAAATTGTGAAATATAAACCAAGAGTGTCAAAAGGAACTTAACCGCAAATGTCTCTATTTGACGAAAGTCTAGAACGACGATAAAATAACTTTTATGGTTTACTAAATATTCTAATACTTTATTCGTATAATAAACAATAAAATATAAAATGAATACACGAAAACAAAAAAGAAAAGAAGAAGAAAAGAAAATGCAATTTATTGTGATGTGAAAATTGTCACAGCATGCAATCAATTCAATTGGTAACCGTTATCACTTTATAGGTGTTGAATGCATCCAGGATATGTTTAATAGATTTTTTCTCACATCATCTTCGTGACAACAAAACTTGTATTGTAATTTTAATTTAGAAAGTACTTAATGAAGTTTATATACATATTTTTTTCTTAGTTTCTGTAAATAATGTTATTTACAGAAACTAAGAAACTTTAATTAATTTCGTATATGTATATGATTTTTTCTAATTTTATGATGATTTTTTTATTTATTTATGGAACTATGCCCTTTCGTACAAAGTACTCTTAATACTAATTTTATTGCACTACGCAAAATTACTAAATATTATCAAAAATGAAACATAAGTGGCTGAACTTAATTTATTTATTTATAAATTATTTTTTATAGTAAATTGATATTTTTAGCTATTTTTATTTTATTTTATTTTTGTAGCTATTTTTAATAGTACATAATAATTATGTTTAATAGGAATTAGATAGTTATTTTTACATTAAATCACTATTTGTAATAATAAATAGTTATTTTTATTGCAAATTGATATTTTTCGCAGTAAATAGTTATTTTTATTGAAAATAATTATTTTTTAAAGTAAGCAGTTACTTTTTATAGTTAATAGTTATTTTTTAATTAATATCCATTTTTATTTTTACAGTAAATAATTATTTTATTCAGAGAAGACAAATAGTTTTTTTCCTTTTGGTTTAAAACAAAGGCAGCAAGTTTTATATTTAAATACTGAACCAATATTGGCGAAGGAGAGTGCCTAAATCTTTAAACAACTCAATTGCTAATATTGGCCCAAGATTGAACATTTTAAATTCAAAGAAGCCCTTGTTTACAGTAAAAAAAAATTTTTTAACTATTAAAAACAAAATTCTTTACATTACTAATTTACCTTGGTTACTGTATTTTGAACCTTGGCCCAATATTGGCTCAGTCTGGGTTTTAATATCCTCAACAGTTTTAATTACCTTGAGAAATGTAAATAATTGTAATACTTTTTGTTTACACTATACAAATGAATAAAATCAAAATATTAAAATTGAAGACAAAGAAATAGAATAAAGAAAATAAATACTAAAAAATAGAGCTTTAGTCTTGATTGAGTTTCAATGTTCTAACCTGGCTCAACTGGGGCCCTGCCAACATTTTTAACATTTTTCGATTACATTTAAAATATTTATATATTTTTAATTGAATCGAAAAATATTGGGAAAAAAGAGAAAATGAATTCAGAAACAAAAAAATCTTTCACTGGTACCAAATAATTTCCAGTTTCCAACCTAGCCCCAACCGGAGCCCTGGCAAAATTTATTATATTTTTGAACTAAATGACAAATATGTAAAATAAAAATCAAAATGAATTAATTCAGAGAAATAAAATAAAAAAATGAATTAAAAATTAAATAAACTTTTCACTTGTATGAAGAAGCTTTCAGCTTCAAACCTGGCCCCAACACGGGCCCTGACAAAATTTACAATATTTTTCCATTAAATTACAAATATATAAGATAAAAATTGAAAAAATGCAAAGAAATGATAAGGAATAAATAAACTAAATAAATGAAAACTAATTAACTCAATAAATAAACTAAAATAACTACATAAAATAATAATGAATATATATATATATATATATATATATATATATATATATATATATATATATATAAAGTAATAAAACAAGCAGATAAATAAATAAAAAATAGAAAACAGCCAACATGAAAAATAACAGAATACCGATCAATGACAAAATATGAAAAATAGAATACGAAGCAGAACACGAAAATTAGCAAAAATAAAAAAATGACAAAAAGTAGAAAAATAACAATCTCACTGTATTAATAAATGAAAACAGAGAACATCGGAAAATAATCTCCTTTGAAACTGACGGAATCACTCAATCAAAAACCAACACTGACGTGCAATTTAATCGAAACCACTAATCTCTGAAAACAAGGAGCTAAATTCTTGTTGCGCATCTTCCCCCCACTTTCGCGAAAACTAAGAGTTTATCGTGCTGCACTTCTTGCTTTCAAAGTAAGCTAGACTAGTTATTCTTACCCACGTTCTAAAGTCTAAGATAGAGAAAGAGAAAAAGAGAAGAGGTCACAAGAGATCATGAGGCCAAGATTGAAGCACCAATAGGGACACCATAAGTCCTTCTCCCCTTTGTCCCCATACTTATTTTCGCCCCCAACCGTTGCTTCCAATTTTCATTGGATCATCGTGTCTCTTCTCTCTAAAAACTTTCAAATACATACTCGTTGTTTTTAAAAATTCTCTGCCAATTTCCCTCTCTCTATATATCATTCTGTCTCTTTTTATCAATTTTTTTGTCTTTTTCTTTCTATCTACTTTGACCCTTTTTCTCTTTTTTTTGTCTATCTTTCTATTTTTCCCATCTTTCTTTTTGACTCTCTGTCTCTCGCTATGTTCTTCTTTTTCTCTTTAAGTTGGTTTTTTTATTTTTGTAACTTTTTTTGTCCCTTGCTTTCCGTCTTTTTTCCTTTTCTCTGTATTTCTTTTTCTTTCTTTTAACCGATATTTTGTATTTTTTGTCCTTTCTTTTTTTCTTTTTGTCCCTGTTCTTTCTTTTTTTCTTTTCCTTAGTATTTTGTGCCTCTCTTTTTGGATTTCTCTGTCCTTTTTCTTCTTTTCTTTCCGATTCTTTGTCATTATTTGTTTCTTCCTTTTTCTTTTTTAAGTTCCAATCTTTTTCATTTCACTGTTTTTCTTTCTTTCTTTCTCTGCCTCTTTTATGACTTTCTCTTTCTTTTTTTTGTCCCTTTTTCCATCGCCTATCTATTTTTTGTCTCTTTTGTTCCTTTTCTTCTCTTTTTTCAGTTCGTATATTTTTTCCGACAATGATTCTTAATTTTTCTTTTGACTCTAAATCCTTCTTTATCATCATTTCTCTCTCTTTTTATTTTCTTCTGAAATAAAATATTTCCTCTTTCTGTTACCTTCCTTAGTTTCGAAGCATTCTTTTCTCTACTTTTAATTGTCCCTTATTTATTCTGACTCTCTGTCTTTTTTTGTTCCACATTATTTTTTCTTTTTTTCTCTCTGTCTTTTTCGACTTTTCGTCTCTATTTTTTCTGACTTACATTATCTGTCTCTCTTTCTTTCTGTTTATGTTTAACTTATTTTTTCTTTTTTCTACTCTTTGTCTCCTTTTGTCCCTTTTTCTCTATTTTGTGTACTTTTCTGTCATTCTTCGTCCCTTTCTTCCGATTCTCTGTTTCTTTTCGTTCCATATTCTTTATTCTTTTTTCCTGTCTATTTTTATCCCTTTTATTTTCTCTTTTTTTGCCTTTCTGTCCTTAGTCCTTTTCTTCTCTCTTATCTTAAACACTTTTTACTTTTTATCTCTCTATCTCTCTTCGTTCCTTTTTCTTATTTTAATTCTCTCTTTCTCTGTTTTCTTTTTGTCCCTTTTTCCGACTTTCTTTCTTTATTTCCTTTTTTACTGCTCTTTTTCCATCAATTTCTCTCTTTCCAGTCTCTTTCTTTCTTTCTCTTTTTGTTTTTTTTTGCCCTTTTTCTTTTTCCCGATTTTCCCATTCCTCGCGCATCTCTCTCTCACCGAGCGAATAAAGAATTAACGAATAGATTTTCCAACGAGATGTTTCACTGCACTATCACTTGCGACTTGAGTGGGTCTCTGTGTCAGGAAGGTCACATACCCGCCGCCACTGCCATCAAGAATCCCATCCCCCGTCTTTCTTCTTCATCTTCATTCGCGATACCGTAACAACGTTTGAATCCAACCAACCAACCAACCAACAACATTGAAACATAGATTCATGAATATATACATACAATGGAGGAATTCACATACTTGTGGGAGCTCATCCCCTTACCTTACCGCATTCTATCCTCCACCTGCGGTTGGTATATATCAGCCTGGATGCTTCATCCTGATGCCAGTCTCTCCTTCAGCTTATATTCGGGAATAACATTTTATTTATTTATTTATTTATTTATTATTCAAATTTACTTTATCAACAAGTGGTGCGCGAGTGAGGGTTTTTTCCCCTTTTTTCCCTCTTTAATCAAAATTTCCCGCTAAAAAGTATCAACAAAATATCCAAAAATGGATAGAAAAAAGTGTCTGTTAATGCTTCTGTCAATAAGTGTCGCCTCGTGCTTCACAACACCAACAACGACGACCGGTGACGATAATATTATTGAGAAGGGTTATCGATCTCTCTATCGTGTCTATGAGGAGTGTCAGCAGAGAAATGTCGGCGTGACGCCGTGTCTCAAGAAAAAGGCAATTGCATTTTTCGATCGTATTGGAAAAATAGAATCGCTGCCAATTGCCGAGAATCTCGAGCTGGTGAGATCGCCGGACGCACCGGAAACAACGGAGGCGCCGAGTGTTGATATCGAGACACTTGGTCGTCAATCGGGTGCCTCGAGGGACGAGGTACTCAATGATATTCTCTTCGAGAAGGTGGCAAATCTAATGAATGGCTTTAATGTTCAAATAAGATTGCCAAAAACATCGTCAGTGGAATTGAAGCGCAGTATCGAGGAGGGCCGTGGGAAAATGAAGAAAATGATGGGAATGATGATGATGGGAATGGCAATGAAAATGGCCGCAATGGTACCACTTGCAATGGGTGTACTATTTTTACTCGCTGGAAAAGCGTTGATTATCAGTAAAATTGCCCTTGTTCTGTCGATGATAATTGGACTCAAGAAATTATTGTCGCAGAAGGGAGGCGGCGGCGGTGATCATGGCGGATGGCAACAAGGAGGCGGTGGAGGCGGCGGCGGGGGTTGGGATCGAAGTCTCAAGGGAATTGTCAATCCATTGAATATTGAACTTTCCGATTCCGATCGTCAGTACGCGCAAAATCTTGCCTATAATGGTGCAAGGCAACTGACGAAGTAATTTAGTCAACATTTTTTTTTTTTTGTATAATAAGAAGAACGATTAATTCCGAGTTTGTCCCAAAAAAAAAATAATTGTGCAAAAAATTAGTGCAAAATAACCGCATAAAAATTAGAAGTGCATTGTAATTGTCGTGCTAATTTTTTTAAAGTGAAAATGAAATTGTTCCTTCGTTTAAATTCGACTAATTTTCCATTTATAAAAATTTATAAAATTTTTATAAATCAGTGTGTAAAAAATTGACGAACTGTTTCCGAAAACTTCTGTTTCAATTATTTTATTTTTGACAGTTGTAAATTGTAATTTGACGTGATTGTATTCTAAGGAAATACTTTACTGCAAAACGATACGAAATTAGAAGACTAATTGTGAAAAAAAGTTGATTCATTCTTGATGGTGTATTTACCGTTATTTATTTATTTATTGTATTCTTTTTAAAATTTTATTTTAATTATGTACATAATGTGAAAAAAATGGAGGTCAATATTTATTTTGTAAATACTTTATCAAGCGAAATGTGACAATTTTTTTTATTGACGAATATTTGAAACAAATAAAAAATATTTTATCTACGGTAATGTAGGGCATTTTTTTGTAATATTTTGAACAAATGTGAAAAATGAACTTATAAAAGAGACGGGGACAGGGAAAATTGCATTTTCCACAAATAAAGACTAATATAAATGACGGTTTATAAAGAATTTCTAACTTCTTAATAAAAATGATTTTTGTACTGTGCAAAATGGAAGACTACTTTTTCTTTCTTCTATTATCGCTAAAATAAAAGGGAACTGTTAATAATTTATGATAAAAATGGCAACGTTTAATAATAAAAAAGATTTCTTTTAACTGATCAAATTATTTTTCTTTTTATTTTTGAGTATAGTAACATTTATAATTTGTTGTTTATTACTGAAAATATTCTTTAATTTGGAAATGAATTCTTTCAACTACAATTTTTCTTATCATAGAAATTTGTTTGCTTTATTCTTTATCTGTTTATTTTATTTATAATTCTTAATTTTATTCAGCTTCTTTATACTTATTCTTTCTTTAGAATCATTCTTTAATAATTAATAAACGCTTTTGACAGCAATTCTTCTAGAATTTTTCATTTTTTCAATTTTTTCTTTAATTTAGAAATATTTCTTAATTTAGAATCATTTTTAACTTTCGAATAATTCTTTTATTTTGAGACTTATTTGGATTAAAAGAATTTTTCAAAATTGTTCACTAGTTCCTTAATTAACATTTTTTTTCAATTCAGAATCATTTTCAAATTTAAGAAAATTTAATAAAAATCGTTTTTAGATTCAAAATCTTTTTTTAATTTAATTCTTTAGTTTCGAATCATTTTTCGATTTTAAATTGTTTCTTGATTCGAAGAATTTTCTAATTTGAACTTTGCTCTTTATTTTAAAAATTTTCCTTCGATTTAGAATCAATATTTAATTTATTCATGGAATGCGAATCATTTCTTGATTCTAAATTTTTCTTTAATTTGAAAGCATTCTTTCATTTTAAATTATTCTCAGATTTGGAATTTTATTTAGGTTGAACAATTTTTTTAGATTTGAAATTTTTGTTTTATTTTAAAGATTTTGCTTGGATTTAAAATCAATCTTACAATCAATTTTTGAATTAGAATAGTTTCTTGATTCTAAATCTTTCTTTAATTTAGAATTATTATTTCATTTCAAACATTCTTTGATTTTGAACCATTCTTTATTGTTTAATTATTCTTTAATTTTAAATAATTCTTTAATTTCGAATTATTCTTAAATTTTGAATCATTCTTTAATGTTAAATCCTTTTTTGATTTAGATTCTTTCTTGTGTTTAGAAACTTTCTTTGAATTAGAACTGTTTCGTGATTTTAAATTTGTTTTTTGTTCTGAAAAATTATTTAATTTTAAATCATTCTTTGATTTAGAATCTCTTCTTGATTCAAAAAATTATTTACATTTAATTTCTGCTCTTTATTTTAATAACTTTTCTTTTATTTTACATTATTCTTTGCTTTAAAATCTTTTATTGCTTTAAATAATTTTCTTACATGAATCAGGATTAATTTTCCATTTTGTAATTTTTTTAATTTAGAATTTTCTTTAAATCAGAATCTTTTGTTCATTTTAAAAATTCTTTCTTTAAATTATAATTTTTGCTTAATTTTAAAAACTTTTTGGATATTTACAATCCATTTTTGCTGTCAAGAAAATTTATAATTTGATATAAATATTTGATTTAAATCTTTCTTTCATTAAAAATCACCATTTAATAAATTAATTTAATTAATGAGAATTAATTGTTCATTTAAATAATTATTCTTCGAATCGAAACTACTTTTTTAGAATTTTTCATTTTTGATTCAAAGATTCTTTTTTTAAAGTAGATTCTTTTTTTGAATTTAAATTTTTCTTTAATCAGAATTTGTCATGAATTAGAATTTCTTTTTTCATTAAAATTTTCTTGAATTAGAATTTTTCATGAATTAGATTTTTTTTATATTAGAATTTTTCTTGAATTAGAATTTTCCCATGAATTAGAATCTATTTTTTATTTGAAGAAACCTTTCCTTAAATTAAAATTTATTCTCGATTTGAAACAACCTTTTCTTAAATTAAAATCTATTCTTAGTTTCAAGAAGCAGAGTCTATATTTTTAATTTGAAAAGCCTATTTCGTGATTTAGAATCTTATCTTTTTTTGAATAATCCCTTTATAGAATTATAATGTATTTCTCATTTGAAATTTTTTTTTCTGAATTAGAATATTTTCTTGTTTAAAAAAAAATTCTCTGGAATTAAAATCGTTTCCTGTATTTCAATCATTATTCTTTGATTTACAATCCTTGATTCAATTAAAATCTTTTCTCTTCTTTAAACAAATTTTCTTTAAATTCAATTTTTTTTCACTCAAAATTGTTTTACTCTCTTTTTTTCTCAACAAAAAAAAACTTTTTTTAAAAATTCTTTCTATTTTCAATCATTCTTTTAATTTTTATATATAATAACTATTAACTAATAACTCTTGTCAAAGAAATAATTTTTGAACCAATGAATATTTTTCTTTAAATGTATAAACATAGAGACCATTTTTTCCAGAATTAAAATTTTTCTCTCTATTTTATTCACGAAAGAGTTGAAAGAACTAATAATAAACTGTTAGAAATGACATGCAGTATATTTTTCATTACATAACATTTTTTTTCAAAACCAAATTATCTCTTTTTACAATTACTAAGCGTTTCGCAATCTCGGAATGGCGATCGTTGATGACAACACTAACCCATATAAATCGGTAGCAAAGCTAATGTAGCGATTAGCGATAATACCGGTAAAGTAGTTTTATTCGTAATATAGGAACAAATGATAATGACAGGCGCCTCGATTCTCTTTTCCTCTTGAATTGATATACATAATATATATTTATAAATCTGTCGGAATTAATGTTTCAAGGAAAAAAAAGAAGAGAATCGATTGCGTGCAAGAAACATTATTGTACCCACTGGGTTTAATGACACTAATCGGTTAACGGAATCAAGAAGATACACTATACATATACATATATTGCGTCAATCTACGGAATCTCATAATCATGCAATGTTTCCTTTTATTGTACGTTCATTTAAAATACTCACACAACAATTTAATGTCAAGTTTAATCCTCTCTTCGGCCTCAACAATTTTTTTTTCTTCATCTTCTTTATTTTTTCTCATATTTATCATAGCTTTTTTTCCACTGTAAAACTAATGGTAATTTCTATAAGATAAAAAAATTAGAAGGAACAATAAATAATAAAATTTTCAATCAACAATAAAAAATTATTTACAAATGGAAATTGTCAGAACAATAAAAATGGTTAATAATTGAAATTATTGAATAGTAATAATAATAATGATTAATAATGGAAGTTGTTTAATAATAAAAATTATTATTAATGAAAATTTTTCAGTAATAAAAATTGTTAATAATGAAAATTATTAAATAATAATAAACTATTAACAATAAAAATTAAAAAGTGATAAAAATTGTTAATAATAGAAATCATTGAATAATATTGAATTATATAAATTGTTTTTGGAAATTATAGAATAATTACAAATAGAAAATAATGAAAATTGGTAATAAAATATATAATGATAATAAAAGTAAATAAACATATAAACGAGAATTGTAAAAAAATTACAACTAAAATTAAATTTAAAATTTCTTTTATTCAATAGAAATTTTTCTACTATACATTAAATAAAGTTTCTCTACTCCTCACAAAACAAAAATATTTTATTATTTATAAAATAATAAAAAAATTTTATTTAAAACTAAATAATTTACTATTTCTCTATTTTCTCTTGGCAATTAAATTAATTTATATTCTTTGGAAATTAAATTATTAATTCCTCGTGTGGCAATTATATATGTATAAATACTGAAGAAAGGGTTAAATCCAGAAAAAATGTACAATATTTTTTTTAATTGTAAATTATCGAAAAAGTGCCTGTCAATAAGATTGTATTCGCCTAATACTTTTTGATGTGAAATCAAAGAAAAATAACAATATTTATTTATTTGTAAATCGATGTATAAGACGATGCAAAATTGTTTTTTTTTGCCAAAAAAAAAAAAAAATAAAGTCATTTGTTGTTAATTTAATTTGTTTTTCTTTGCGTAAAATTTCTTTCTTCCCTAAAAAAAAATTTCGAGTACCTGATTTCAACCTGTTTTTTTTAATTGAAAAAAATCATCATTTCGATCTAAGTCCTAAAACTGCGGCGAAGAGAGCGAAGAAAAATCCAGCTAGCGCCGTTGTTGACGTTAATAAAATTACACCTCCAACCAGAATAGGAACTAGTGCCATTAGCTTCATTTTATAGGCCATTAGCAATGCTAACATCTTGTTATTATGCTTGTTTCGCTTCCTTGGTTCAACTAGAAAATAAAATCCACTAATTAATTACACAAATTAAGGAGGAATCGCATAAATAAAATTTTTATGCAATTTTATAAAATTAATTTTAGTTTAAATTTTTTACAATATTATTCTTTTCTTTATAAATATTTTTATATTTTTTCAAAAAATTTACCTATAATTTTCGGAAAAGGAAATTGTATTTTTTATTAGAACAAATATTTCGTTTTGTACAAATTAAAAATAAAAAACATGACAAAAATTTTTTTATTTCTTTTTGGTATTAAAGAGTCCAAAAATTATTTTCTTTTGAAATTAAAAAATATTATAAAAATGTTGTTATGTAAAAATGAAACCGAATTTTTAAAATAATGACAGAAAAAATCTCAAACCCAAGAAATTTGTTAATAAATTTTACAATTAAAATTTGTCTTTATAAATTGCAAATTAAGAAATTAAGTAGTTTACATGATTTTTATAAAAATATATTTATTATAATAATAGTTGGAAAATAATTAACAATAGTGATACTATTAATAATAGTACCTAGTAAAGCTAAAAATAATAATTATAATATTAATAATAATAATAATAATAATAATAATAATAATAATAATAATAATAATAATTATAACCATAATTATGATGATAGAAAAATTTTAAACATATTAAAGAAATTAAGAGTTCTAAGTAAAAAACAAATATTAAATAAATAATAATTATAATAATTCTGATAAAAATTATTGAAACAAAAATATATTAAAATATAAAAAGTAAAGTAAGTAAATAAAGTAAATGAATAAATAAAATATTCAAGTCCTCATTTAACACTTGAATGAAAATGCGCCCAATAATAAGAATAATTAAAAGTTGTTTAATGAAAAGGAAAACTAACAAGCATAATGAAATGGGGAATAAATTAAAATAGAGAAACAGTAGCGTTAACGATGACGAAACCAATGGAGAATATTGCCCAATAAAATTATTGAGAATTCTAGGTTAGTGGACCGTGAAAAAATGAGCAGCAGCAGAAGAAGAAGAAGAAGAAGAAGCAGCTCATTACAAACGTAATATTGCCCCAGCCGTTTATTCTAATTAGATTTAAATATTCCAAGGGAAGTAGTTCAAATTTAATCTAAGCGAAGAATCTACTCATCGAGACAATGATCCATGAACATGAAAATAATAGGAAAACAACAATTATTTTTTTCTTCCCGGAAAACATTAATCCTTAAAACAAAACAAATAATTCTCTTTTTTTCTTCAGCAAATGTTTACACTGTATAGAATTTGTCACTTCTTGTTTTTTCTCTTAAAAAAAAGGCTTCCAGGAAATTTTAAAAATTTACTTTCTTTATTTACTTTTATTTATTTATTTACTTTATTTAAATTTACTCTTTTTAGAGGAGAGTGGGGCAAAATGAGGTACCTTTTTGAAATTGTCTCTTTACAGAGAACCAAACGAATAAACCGATTTAACTAAACATCAGAATTCTTCTTTGTACACTTAGCTTTGAGGAAATTATGATAATAGCGGAGAAAAATTTTTGAAAGAACTTATATCGTATTTTTTCAAAATTTGTGACATGCTTAACTTTCGGGCTTTATATTATTAACACTATTTAAGTTTTTCAACTTTTGATTTTTTCACGTGAAAGAGCAAAGAATAATCTGTCGAATAGCACCATAATCTCAAAATCGATTTTTTTAACGATAGGTCCCTTTTCTCGTGTCGCGTCACATTTATTAAATTTTTGTTGTATGTGATTATGAAAAAAACAAGTAATATTTATTAGAATTTAACAAAAAAACATCGATAATGGAAAATATCGATATATCATCGATAGAGAAACATCGATAGTATTAATGTCTCGAAACAAAAATATCGATTCTTCTGCAGGAAATTTTAAAATATTCATAATATATAATGTTTTTAAATAGTTGAATTAAACGGCGTAGCACCCGGTATGCCCTACACTGGATATTAAAACAAAATGTAATGTTTCCAAGTTATTGTAAACAATTTAACAATCTATTCTATTGGAAATTACTCTAGAAAAAGTGCTGAAAAAGATCCCATACTTGACAAATTAAAGGCATTAGCCCAAAAAGTTTTGTAAGAACTTTAATTTCGATAAACATTCATATTTTTTGCTTAAAACTTTAAAGTTGTATAACTTTCAAAAGAAAATTGTTTTTTTAGTGTTTTCATAATTAATAACATTTTCTTATTAATCCATATTGGACAGAGATGTAAAAATTTTTTACTTAGATATCGAAAGAGAAGAAAAGTAGAAGAAGCAAAATAAACAAACGAAGAAGAAGCATAAGCAAGAGAGGAAAAAGAAAAATAATCAGAACAACAGTAAAAATAATATCAAAATTAATATATAAAAGAAGATGGCAAGAAAAGAAAAAAATGTTTTTGTTCCGAAACTATTTGTAAATTTATAAAGATAAAAATCGAAACAAATAATTTTTTTCTCTTCAAACATTAATTTTCATTGGATCGATAAATAAGTTTGGAATTTTTCATGTTCTTGCTTTATGACTTTTGTAAATAACAATCAGAAAATATTGTCCTCGATATTTTTTTTCTTTTTCCGAATACAAGAGATACAAATTATTGTGATCTTAATAAATGTTGGTCTGTAATTTTTTAGCAGATTACATGATTGCACTTGAAATATACAGTCTGAAAGATATAGGGAAGAGTTTATACCTATATGAAAACGGGACTGCCTCCGGATAATCGTGGTCAATACGTGACTTCTACAGTCTATTATTTTCATTCGATAATACACGATTAGATTGAAATAAAATGTTGTTGTTGCACGTTCTTCGACATAAACTTTTGCAAGAAAGACATGTAACGACAATCGATTATTATTTCCTTATTTTTTTCTCTAAATCATTCGTTTCTTTCGCATATTTTGAAAGTTTGTATTTATTGATTTTTTAAATTTATTTTAAACAATTTTTTTATATAAAAAATTTAATTATTTTTTTACAAGTATCCAGTGAATTTCTGAATAAAATTTAATGAAATTTTGAATTAATTTTACTTAAATAAGTTTTTTTTTTATTTAATTTTAATTGAATTTCATTTAATCCAAATATATTAAGTGACAGGAACAAAAATCTAAAGAAAAATAAAAAAAAGAATTGTAAAAGGGTAAATAAAAATACCTGAGAAAGTAAATTTTATATTTAGTTTTGGTTTTTTTATCCTTTATGATAAACTTATTTGGAATTTAATTACTTCCATTATACAGAAAATTGTAAAAAAAGAAGAAAAAGATGAAGCAAAGATAAAGAAAAATTGAAAAAGAAAAAAAAGATTCAAAATAAGAAGTAGAAGATAGAAAAGAAAAAGGGAATAAGAAAAGAAAAGAAGAAGAAAAAAGAAAATAAAAAGCAGAAGAGAAGAAAGAAAAAACGTAAAAAAGAAAAAGAATGTACAAAATAAAAGAAGCAATGAAAAGAAATGAAATGTAGAAAAAAGAAAATGAAAAGAAAGCAGAAAAAGAGAGGAAAAATAAGAAGATGATATAGAATAAGTGAAAGAAGAAAGGAAAAGAAACGAAGAAGAAACAAAATTAAAAGCAGAAGAAAAAACAGTAGTAAAGAAAAGGAGTAAAAAAAGAAGATATAAAATAAGTGGAAGAACAATAGAAAGCAAAAACGAAAGGAAGTAAAAAAAGCTACAAAATAAAAGGAAGAAGAAAATAAATGAAAGAAGAATGAGAAAAGAAAAAAGAAGGAAGAAATACAAATACAAATAAAGAAAAATGAATAAGAAAAGAAAAAGAAGATACGACATAAGAACCAAAAAAAGATAGAAAAACAGGAATAAGTAAAAAGAAAAGTGAAAAAGAGGTAAAAGAGTAACTAGAAGAAAGGAAAAGAAAAAACTAATAAGTAAAGAAAAGCTAATGGAGAAGAATAAATAAAACGCATAAGCAAAACGAAAAATAAAAAGCACAAGTAAAAAGAATGAAAGAAGAAAAAGAAAATGAAAAAAAAGAAAAGAAAAGATAAAAAAGAAACAAAAATTGAAAATAATGAGGAAAAATAAAAAGCAGAAGAAAAGAAAGAAAAAAGTAATAAGGAAAGAAAAAAATATGAAGAAGGAAATAAAGGAAAACATAAATAAGAAAATGAAAAAAAGAAACAAAATAAAAAACTGGAGAAAAGAAACGATAAAAAAATAAGATTTAGAGGGAAATAAAGCAAAAAAATAATAAGAAAAGGAGAAAAATGGAAAAAAGAAACAAAATGAAATACAGAAAAAAAGAAAGAATAAAGGAAATAAAAAAAGATAAACACAAAGAAAATTAAAAAGCAGAAGAAAGGAAAAGGAGAAAAAAATAAATGGATTATGCAAAAGAAATGGAAAAAACCAAAAGAAACAAAAAAATGAAAAAGCTGCACAAGAAAATAATTAAAAGCAATAAGAGATGAAAAAGAAGTCTGGAAAATGCGAAAATTGAAGCAAAAGACATAAAGAACATAAAAACAAGAAATAAAGATGTGAAATAAAAATAAGAAGCAGGTTAAAAGGCGATTGACGATAAAAAGTTACGAGAAAAAAGAAGAAATAGAAGTAACAGAAAGAAAAGAAGAAGGAAAAGAGTAAAAAGAAATAAAAAATAGAGGGAGAAGAATCATTAAAAGAAAAAGAATAAAAAGGAAAATTTTGTTTTAAATATAAAAGAATACTGAATAGAAGCAGTAGAGAAAGAAAAAGAAAAAGAAAAAGAAAAAGAAAAAGAAAAAGAAAAAGAAAAAGAAAAAGAAAAAGAAAAAGAAAAAGAAAAAGAAAAAGAAAAAGAAAAAGAAAAAGAAAAAGAAAAAGAAAAAGAAAAAGAAAAAGAAAAAGAAAAAGAAAAAGAAAAAGAAAAAGAAAAAGAAAAAGAAAAAGAAAAAGAAAAAGAAAAAGAAAAAGAAAAAGAAAAAGAAAAAGAAAAAGAAAAAGAAAAAGAAAAAGAAAAAGAAAAAGAAAAGAAAAGAAAAAAAAAAGAAAAAGAAAAAATTGTAAAAAAACTAAGAATAGCATAAAATAAATCAAAATTAGAAAAAGAAAGAAAAAATGAAGGAGAAGAAGAAAGAAACGGAAATTGAGAAGGAAAAACAGTAAAATATAAAGAAAATATGTGGGAGAAATAGAGAAAGACAAGGTGAGATAATAAAACAAGAAGAACAACAAAAAGGAAAACAGTAAAAATAGCAAGTAGAAGAAATATCTGAAAAATGGGGAGAAGATGAAAATGAAGATTCAAAATAAGAGGAGGTCAATAATTAGTTCAAAGAGAGGATTAAAAAATAGAAGATGAAGAGAAAAAACTAGGGAATGTGAGAAAATAGAAACAGATGAAATAAATAAAAGATGATGAAGATAGAAGATGAAGGTGATATTGAATATATAGGATATAAATAAATCAAACGTAGAAGAAAAATCAGTTAAAAGCAAAAACCAAGTAGGAGAAATAAAGGAAGAAAGAAATAGAAGAATATGTAGAAGAAAGAAGAAAAGAAGATACAGAAAAAATAGGAGAAAAAGAAGCAGAAGAAAAATGAAAAGAAGATGCGGAATAAATACGAGAAGGAGGAAGAAAAAGAAGAACGAGGAGAAGAAGAGGAAAAAGAAGAGGAAGGAGGAGGTGATGGAAGGAAAAGAAGAAAACGAAGAAGAGGAAAAAGACGAGGAAAGAGGAGAAGGAAAAAACAAAATATTAATTAATTCTCATAAATAACTTAATAATTAACTAATCCATGTTTTCAAGCACAATTTTTCTAAATAAATAACTAATTAATCAATTTTTCTTGTTTATAAAAAAATTTACCTGCTTTTTTCACATACAATTGCACATTTTTAAAGGCAGATTCCGCATCATCGATAGCATCGTTAGCATCATCAAGAAAGCCTCTACTTTGAAAATGTGCAATTTGCATTTGACGTCGACTACTATCTATAAAATCAGTTCCATCGTGAGTCACGAAAACTCGAGATGAAGTAGAAGAAGAAAAAGAAGGCTTGTTAACTCCATCATCAGATGCTGAAGAATGTTGAAGGGCATGTACCACGCAAATCACAGCCAACAGAATCACGACTAGATTCACTCTCAGCATTATGTTTTCCACGTTTCTTCACCACAAGATCATTTGGAGAGATGTTAAATAGGCGAAAAAAAATTGTTTTCTAATTTTTTCTTTTACATATTAGTGAAAGCTTTTCAAGGTACTTCCTATTCTCAAATCACTTTTATCTTCATTCCATTGCATCTTGAATTTTTGTCTCTCTTCCTCCTACTCAAATTATTGTTTTTATGAAAATTTGTCCACTACTTTTTGTTGTGTTATTAATTTCTTTTCACTTGAACTTTATCGTAAACAATCACTTTATTTTTCTTCAATGATGGTAATAATTTTTTTTATTGAAATTAGAAATGAATTGGAATTTAATGGGGATATTAAAAATAGTAGCGAAAAAAATGATCACAAGACAACAACACACAGTACAACGAACGATCGTGAACTAAACTTGATCTAGACTCGATTTTATGATGAAAACCACGGGGGGTATAATGTGCGGGGTACCAAAGAGAGTTATCACGCTTGAGTTGCTATGAAAATCGGCAGTCCGTGAAAAATTAGACTGAAGATTATTATGCGTGTTGTAAGTACTATGATCGATGGGACTATGATGAGCTATCGTATTGCTTGGTGAGTTGGCAATAGAGTCCTTAAACGCAATTTTTTTATTTTGGTCTTATTTATAAATTAGGAGGGAGATGATATGTTGGTGTAATGATGGCTGTTTCCTCTTTGTGAGCGACTTGTTTCTTTTTTCGGAGACACGCTCGGCAGTTATTACGGCCATTTATTTGTATGTGACTTTGAAATTTTTTTTCTTTTTGACCTAATTATATAAATATAAATGTGCATTAAAATGAGACCTTCTCATTTTTGATGAGAATGTAAAAAAAATAATAGGATTGGTTCACGAGAGGAAAGTGATTGATGGAAATATAAAAAGGCTACTTTTAGAAAATTGACATATTATTTTATGTGATCTACAAACTGGATTCAATGCTAGTTGTTTTAAATTATAGTTTGATTTCTTTGCGGAACTCTCTCGTTGACGATGGGGACTAATGATACGTGACTGAGGGAGAAATATAGTTTTTTCCTTATTCGATTGTTCTTTTAAAGGAAAAAAATTATGGGATGCTTTTGAATTTTTGGAAAATATTTGTTGTGGAAAAATTTGAAAATAGTAATGTAGTTCTGTTTCGTGGGGGTGGAATTAAAAAATACGAAATTTAAAGTTGTTACGCAGGGGTTGAAACGGTGAAACTCACAAGGTTCTAAATTGCAAGGATCGAAACTGAAATATTAGAAAATTTTTCAATTTAAAACTGAAAGGTCTTAAAATAGAAAATTCAAATCAAAATCAGAGAAACAATTTCACAGATTTAAAATTGAAAGATATGAAACTACAAAATTCAAAACAGAAAGATTAAAAAATTGAAGGCTCGAAACCACAAAATACAAAACTATGAAAGATTGAAAATTACTTGGTAGAAATTCTAAGAGTCGAAACTACAAAATTCAAAAATTTAGAATTCAAATTTGTAAAATTTAAAAATTCTTACTAGAATAAAAAATTAAAGGTACCTACAACATTATTAAATTCGAGAACAAAGATGAGAAATTATTAACATAGAGAACTATGAGAAATTAAAGAAGTAGGTACATAATTAAAAAACTGATAGATTCAGAATTAAAATATTCAAAAGTACGAAAGTTAAAACTCAAACTTGTAAAATTTTAAGATATGGAATTGGGAAATTCAAAATTTTTGCAAGGATCAAAAGTACAAAATTTAAAAACTGAAAGTTTTAAAACTTTGATATTTAAAACGATAAAAAATCCAAAACTGAAAGATGCAAAAATTTCATCTTTGAAATTACAAAATTTAAAACTTTTGCAAAAATCAAAATTGAAAGACTCAAAAATACAAAATTGTTGGATTAAAAACTGCAAAGTTAAAAACTAAAAAATTCAAAAGTAAATATTCGGAATTGCAAAATTAGAAACTATTACAAGGATTAAAACTAAAAGATATAAAAAACTCAAAAATCAAAACTAAAAGGATAAGAAATTTGAGATTTGGAATTGCAAAAATTCAAAAGTAACGATTTAAAAATACACAATTTAAAAACTGACAGACACAAATCTTTAAAATTTAAATCTAAATATTTACCAATTTTTAAGGTTTCTAATGGTAAAATTTTAAATTCTTGCAAGGATTAAAACTAAAGTTAGAAAACAACAACATTTAAAACTAATAGATTAAAAAATCTAATGTTTTCAATTACCAAATTCCAATTTCTTTCAAGGATCAAATCCGAAAAATACAAATCGACAAAATTCAAAACTAAAATATTTAAAATTGAAAGATTTTAAACTATAAAATTCATAACTAAGAGATTAAAAAATTTAATCCATAGAATTGCAAGATTCAAAGTTTTTGCAAAGATCAATACTTATAAAAGAATCTACAAAATCCGCAAGTCAATTCAATTTACAATTTTTAATTCTTGCGAGAATATCAAATCTAAAAGATACAAAAAAAAATTCAAAATAATAACAGTTAAAATTGAAATATTTTAAACTACAAAATTTATATCTTAAAATTGCAAAACTGAAAAATGTAACCTTCAAGTTTGAAACTGAAATGTTTAAAATATAGTAAGGTTCAAAATTTCAAAATTCAAATCTGGATGATTTATAACTGTAAAATTTAAATTGCCACCAAAAGTTTTTTAAATTAAAATATTTGTCTAAAAAAATTTTAAATCGGTTACAAAATATTCTGATCCTTTTTGGATTTTTATTTTTCTTAAAAATTGATAGATTTTAAAATCCATCGTAGAAAATATATTTTCATATCTGGGTGATTTTCAAGTAAACTGTCATTTTTTTTAATAAGACGTTTTTCCACTAAAATAGTAAACCAAATTTGACATTCATTACATATTTTAGTACATTTTTGTTATTGAAGTATATGTTTAAAAGAAAACTACAAGATCTCGAATATTTTTAAAGTTACGATGAAAAACGCAAAAATGACATGCCACGGACCTATGACATTGTGCCACGGTCCTGACATGTGTGTCACAGTTAGAACACGTAAATAAATAAATAATTGAATAAATATTTTCTTTTCAATGCTCGCACTTCAAAATAATACCAGTAGAAGTGAATTAAAAATAAAAGTGAGTAATAAAATCACGATTTCGTTAACATATGTACGTACAAAGTAATTAACAATTTTAAACATGAAAAAAGTGCTCGTGTACGTAGAATATCATTATAATAAAACTATTTTTATATGTAAAACATCTAGTTAGATTTTGTCTACAAAGTACTCAAAATATAGTCTCAATATTAGATGAAGTAACAACTTCAGAACAAAATTTAAAAAAAACGTGTGCCACGGACCTGACATTTCTTAATTTTCATTATGATAATGATTAGTTAATGAATTGAATATTAAGTATCTTTAAGAAGAGACTTAAATTAAGTAATTTAGGGTAGTGGCACCAGTGCAAAAACATTTAAGAAAATGTATACTTTCGATATTTTTTATTGACATTCTTGAATTTTCTTTTAAACATGTGCAATGATTAGCAAAATTTGTAAAGAATTTGAAGCCTATGATACAAATTTTGTAAATATAACATAAAATATCAAATTTTAATCACCGACAGATTGGCTCGGTCGAATAAATGCCTGGCTCGGTGGGCGGACCAAGGGTACTTGGTTCGCGCCCATTAGCCTGGGATTTTTCCGGCACGTGAGATAATCTGAGCGGGAGGTTTGACGTCGAAGTATAATGATGTGCACCGTCGATTATTGTCCGGTACACACCATTAGAATTCGACTGTCGATAAACCGGTTGTACTCAGGAGAGGTTTTCTACAGTTTCCCTCTTCTCTGGCGAGAAAACCCATTAGATAAACCCATTCCTAATTTTCAAGTCGCTCTGTAGGCGCAAAAATTTAGTATTAAGAAATGTTTGTAAGAAATGTTCTACGGTTGTAAAAACACTCGTATAGCCAAGATTGTAGGCTTAAGACGGGTGTATAAACAAATAAATAAATATCAAATTTTAATCAAATATTGAAAAATGTCCATTTTACCAGTGAAAGAATGTTGACCAGTAAAAGAACAGTTGTATTTTCCAGTGAAAGAACAAATCAAATTTATATTAATACAGTGTCTAAAAATAACAAAAATTATGTGAAAAACGCTACAAATATTCTAAAACAATTTAACAATTTACTATTATTAATATTTTTCTAATTACGCAACCAGAAATATTATTTAATTGCACCTGAAACTTGTAACCTTTTTTCTGTTTATGCTTCATTCATTTGTCATGTTCATAACTCACCAAAACATTAAAAAATTATTTTCAGAAATAACTTGCATATTAAATCTATTTTTTTATAATAAACTATACTTTGAAGAAATAAGGAACTAAAAAATATTTTTTTTATAGTGCTAAAAGTTGTAATTTGTGAAATATCGTAATAAATAATGAATTTGTTCTTTTACTGGTGTAAATTCTTTCACTGGTGCAACTACCCTATGAAGTATTTTTAATAAAAAGACAGTAATAAGGTTTTCAGGGTCGCTGATTACGAATATGATATCAAATTTAAATTTTGACAGTTGACAGCTGCACTGAGAAAACTGGAGTATTAGACTAAACATCTGGAGGGACAAATCGTTCATATTTGAGAGTTAGCTATTGGATAACAATCGAAATGTTCAAATACACCATTGACAGATATTCTGGCCAAAACCCTAAGTGGGGTGTTCACTAGATATGAAATATGGCTCTGATCAGGGCCTCGACAGTTTTCCTCGTTTTAAAAGCATGTAAATAAATTTAATTTTTTAAAATTAACTTTTTTAATACAGTTATTTAAGTTAAAAAAGCGTGTTCTTTTAAAACACTTTATAAAATAATTATGGTAATATATTTAAAAAACGAAAATACATATAATTTTTTTCCTTTAAGTACAATATTAGAATAAAGTTTATTTATTAATAATAACAACTAAATTATAAATAACGAATAATAATAGTTATTAAATAATTAATTATTATACATTTATTTAAAAATAAAAATTATGAATTTAAAAAATAATAATTAATAAACAATTATTAACAAATTATACTTAATGAATTTTAATAATTATTAATTTATAGGTTGAATTTATCATTTGGTTTATATATATATTATATTATTTTAATAATAATTATTATTTTATATTATATTAGCTTAAAGTGAGAAAATGATTGAAGGAGATTGTTAAATTTAACACCTTCAATATTTAATAACTATTTTTTAAACATAATTAATAAATTTGAATAAAATATTTATTATATAAATATTAATTATTAGTTATACATTTGAAAACAAAAATTATAATTTTTATTAATATTATAAAATTAAGGAGGCAGAAAGGAGTCAGTTTCTCTACCCAGAGCCACACCAGAGATCGGGAAAACTGTCCAGTACCCTA